TACGAAACAATACAGACTACATAAGAGTCAATACTGAAAAGGTTGAAATGTCGATAGATCTACAGAAACTAATTCAAATACGGGGAATAAAATCGAGAAATTAGAAGTAACATCAAGGAAGAATGCAAAAATAGAATTTAGGATGGATTGTATCTAGAAGTACACAGACACAGTACAAGAGAAAGTAAAAGAAAGAAATATGAAAAAAAAATGAACGATAAATTTCACCATAAAATAGAGTAAGAAAGTGACAGGGAGAATGGATAGGAACTACGCACAAAACAGATGAAAGAGAACATTCATGAAAAAAAAGTTCAGTTAAGATCTTATTCATCGTCTACGTGTGTACACTGGACTGCTATACATTTAAAACGTTTTAACATCTAAAAATATTCTGTTTCAATCGCTCGTACGGCTAATGCAACACATGAGTAAAACAAACTGAAATTATATGTGCGAAAACTGTTGAATATTTAAGCTGCGAAAATTGTTTAATAAATTTTGTTCAGAGTGTTTACACTCTAATAATTAAGTATGTTTTCACGTTCCATTTTGTCATCTGTGTTATGGTCATAGTCTAGGTTCCCGATTATGACCGAAAAACGCTCTCAAAGTATATACAAAAACGCGTTTACAATAAAACAATATGAAAACCTGCAAAATTTTCATGCATGTAAGCAATGACCGTTTTCACGACTTAATTTACTCATCGATTTTTGATCATAGTTTCGTTGTTTGATTAAAGGTGGAACACGTTTAGAAAAAATACGCAACTAAATGTCTACATTTTTAACGCAGACTGCATACAAAAATTTTTGGATAAAACTCGTCTACTAATCAGTTGTTGAAAAATATTTTCCGTTTAAACACCAGACTTTTTTGTGCATGTTTTGATAGCAATCGGGAACCTCGATTGATACCGTAAAACGCATGGAAATTATACAATGTTTAAACGCGTTTTTTAGATTGGCTTGTCTGCTTGGGTCGAGGTCAATCTGAAGATATAATTTATAGTACAGATGCTCGTAACTTTTATAATAATTTAAGCGATCCATTTGAAGGCCAACCATTTGTACCAAAGATTTGTGGTGGTTTCTTTCTTATGCGTCCAACAGAACCTACAATTCACCTACTTGAAGATTTAAGTAAAACAATGAACATTGACTCAAGCGCTAATGATCAATGGACTATAGATAGACTTTTAAATAGTCGTTATAATTCTACAAATAATATATTTATTGACGATCCAACTCGTACTTGGCTTGTTGAACCTTTACCATCGGGAGTAGAACGAAGAAATACAAGCGTGAGAACAAACAGTTCAATCAAGCTTCGTCTATTAGATCAAGCAGCCTATATTAGTGGACATATTTATGGTTCATCAAATGATCGATACTGGCAGGAAATACAAAAATTTGAAAAATGGAATCCATTTTTTCAGCGCATTATGGTACATGCCAATACATGGGATGAAGACAAAGTACAAATGATAAAAAGAAATCGTTTATGGCTCTTAGGGCCCGATGATGTCTGTATTTTATAATATAAACATATAAAACGAATATCCATATTTCTTGAAATCTCCTATGATATAGTTTAGCTTCAAATAAGCTTGAAAGTAGTTGAGGATGTAGATACGCTATAGATTTGTAAGCACATTTTATCTTTTTTTTGCATGTATATGTATCAGTCAAAATTAAACTAGTTTTAAGATGTTTTTATAATCATATAACTTGTTAAAAAAATAAAAAATAATTTAGTTATTATTACAATTATAAACTTTAGAAAAATGTACAGTCCGCAAGTTGTCTTTGATAAAATTTTATTGTAATTTAAATATTTAGGCATCGAAAAGAAAAATATAATGAATAAAATAAAAAAGATATTCGAGGGTGTGAGTATGGATCTGGATCTATACATTTGCATGGCTGAGGTCAGGCATGGATGATATAGAAACCGTATATCCGCACCTAAACCAGTTAAATTTATGTGATTCATAACGATATGAGTAGTACCAATTGTGTAGGTGTCGGCATATCCCACTAATATCGAAAAACACTATTACAAAAGGTTTTTACCTCTACAACATACTTTCATTATTGAAAAATAGAGCATCTATAAAAATATATTTGATTGTTTATTCATCTTGAGAATGAATGTGAATAGGTATAAATGCTCTTTTCTCTCATCTTTACGCTGTAATTGATGAAAATAATGAAAGAATAACAAGATAACAAGATTACACTGAATTAGTGGATGTCAAGGACTAACGAAAAATAAAGAAGTAAAAATTATAATAAGCAGATAAACACTGAATTAAAATAAAATAAAATAAATTTCTTATGCATCTCTCGATATATGACAAGTAAGTAACATATAATATTTTGATATTTATAGCTGTTTACCCATAAAAAAATACTAAATACTTCTCATTTATTCTTACCCTGAGTCCTATGCCGTATTTTATATTATAGTTTGATCTTTCTTCGTTAAAGTTATCGATTTGAATCGATATCAAAATTCTGTACTTATTCTGTTTGCATTTTGAATCAAAATAATTAAATGAAAATATAAACAGAAAATAAATATGTAATTAAATGTACAGAAAAAGTGATAATTAGATGATAAAAAGAATTGTTTTAAAAAATTAATTTTCGATTATATATCCCTTCAAATTAATTCTGCCATTAACATATGTGCGATAGTAGGTGGTGATCTATTGTCTCAACTTTTGAAAGATTGATTTTTATTTTTTTCCACTGTTTGAGTAGAACAACGTAGCGTCAAGTGACAATTACAATGTAAAAGATAGTAAAAATTTTAATAAAAATATTAAAAACTCTATTATCTAAGTTTACAATTCACAAATATCGTATCATTTGATACTCTGTTGTAACTATTCATGTAATTACACTAATAATAACGTCATAAATGGAGTGTGAGCAAGTATAACAAATTAATAAAATACTCCGATATCAGCACTTATCCTTAGGATCTGAGATTTTCAAAAACTGAGGAGAGAATCTCTCCATCCCTATCTCGTTCACATCGACCCACACTTTGATCATCCGCTGGATCCAAGAGTGTACCATATAAAGTTTGATCACACTAGTTCTTACAGGGACCAAATGCATAAAGAACAGATAAACAAACAAATTTTCTTCGTTAAGTCTTTATTGTAGTAAGGATCTGAAACGTATATAATAGAGCATATGGTGAAATTTCTTTCTACCTATCTTTATCCATCTCATTCCATTATGTACATGAAACGCTGTCACTATGTCTCGCAATTATCCTATAAATAGAAAGTCACAAAATAGTCACTCAAATTCAAATTAATATGAAAATATCGAGATAGAATCTATACTATTTCTTTTAACATTCTGAATGAACACTTTTATTCATTTATAGAAAGCTCTGAATACAGACAAATTTTTATGAAGTCTTTTTTTCATATTTCAATATAATTCAACGAGAACAACATGTAAATAATTATAGAATCAATCACGAGTATTCTTTACACATCTCTTGTTAAATATTGATAACTTTATTTTTAGTAAGAAGATTTGATAATGTCTTCTTTGCCATGAAGAAAATACATAACGTTGCTAACAGTCGTACTATGTATTTGCTTTTCACCAATTCTCAATTTTGCAAACTCTTGTTTTTTCGATTTTTTTTATTAATCGATTCAGCTTTACACCGCATTTTGTAGTTGAGTGAAATTCGAATACCATCTAGTTACATTAACACTTTTATCAATATAATTCTAAATGATGATAACAAGAAATTAGGTTATAATGCTATCAAATATATAACTAATAGATTATCTACTATGATATTTAGTATAAAATAACATGTGTTCTTGGTAATTAGTGAGTATATAGAAAATTTTCTTTTATATTAGATTTCAATCAATATAATAGATATTTAAATGCAAACAAAGAACTGAAAAAAAACAAAATCTATACTTGATCCCATTTCGATTTCTCTAGTTGAAATAACTATCTAATAAAGTATTTTACACCGAATGTTCATAGATAAGATAGTAATATTTATTTCATTATATGTACGGTTACTTTTTTAAATTTCTAAAAACAAAACAAAAGAAAAAAATAGTCTTTTATGCTTGGTCGTAGTTTAACACGATAAAATCAATTAAGGAGCATGTGGTTTTGCATTAGCTGCTTTTGATCGTAGTTTATTAAGAACTTGTTCATCAGTGGGAATATAACATTCGCTTATTGAATTAGGTTGAAGAATTTCTAAAAAACAAATAAAACATAATTCTATGTTAATATTTAATTAATCACTTTTTTCAAATGACGTACTTGGTGTTACTTTCCCAGTTCGATATTGAAATTTTCCATCTTTTAATCTTACAATATCTTCACAAGTATCTAACACTTCTTGAGTAACGACTGTATGCTAAAATGTATAGTTTCAATGGTTATTACAACAATAAAAGAAAATAATAATTCTTACTGAAAAATCTACTTCTCGTATTATACTTGATTCACTAGTCTTCACACAAAGAAAAATAGCAAGTGCTCCATCAGAATTTATTTGATTATCTGCAATCTATAAGAAATAGTGTGCAGGTTTTTTTTCTTCTATTAAATATAAATAAAAAAAAAATTCCTAAAGAATTACTTTTAAAACTTGAAGTGAATCATTTGCAAGTAATGCTTTGGCTATAGTAAATGCATTTGGTGTATTGAGTCTATTCGAACTGATATTAAATTCTTCTAATGCAGCATTTTGTTGAATACAATCTGCTAAAATTTGTCCACCATTTGGTCCAAAACCATTCATTTGAAGATTACAACGTTTTAAACGAACATTTTCCTTTAAATTGAATAAATATATTTATGTTAAACAATAACAAATCAATACATACTTTGATTCCATGTGCAACATCAATAGCACTTCGTCCTCGAATTTTATTCCA